CAAGATGGGGTTTTTTATTCTTATTGTAATTTATATGAAGTCCATAAAGCAAGTATCCAAAAGAGATGGATAACGTAAGACATCGTTTAAGCACGTGTACATTACAAGTAGTAAAACTTATATCCTCTCTTATCTAATTGTCAGAAAAGTACACTAAATTATAACTAATTGCTTAAAATTGCTCAAAGTAACTGGTTAAAGTTAAATGTTATATAGTTTTTTATGTCAACACTGAAAGAATTAGCCTATTCCCAAATTTTGTAAGAGTTATAATTATCCTATTACTAAAGTTTTAAATTATATGATTGCACCTGCGCAAAACCAAGCTTAAAATATCCCCTCATTATTTTCAGCACAGTACAATACAAAATAACCTTACAAAAATGCTTGAATATGAAACTTACTCAATTTTGGTTTCAAAAGTTTTCCAAGTATTCCAGCAACTGATTCTTTTGTACGTATGAAAGATAAGTTAAGGGTATATATATGAAGAAAATTCATGTAATTTTTTAAGTTTATTTACGTAAAGCAAACAAAATTCTGTTTAATCAGATGCTTATCACAAATTCTAAAAAGCTTTCAATTCAATATATCGCATGACTTCAATAAATAAGCAATAAAATTTAATTGGTAGAGTTACATTAAATTTTTTATCACGAATCACTTCAGTATTTTGTAATAAGTTTTGAATGAAAAGTTTTAATATATAGAATTTTTAGAAGAAAATATCTCTAATTATAATTTCCCGTTAAAATAGGATCCAAGCAAACTTTATTTTTTATTTGTGAATAATTTTAAAATTTATTACAGCATATCTATATAGGTTTAATACTTTACTTATCGAATAATAACAACAAATAGTATGATACTAATATATATATATATATATATATACTAGAGGGCTCCGTCCCCTGCTCGCTACCGCTCGCCAACCCCCGATAACTGCTACGCAATTACATTTTTGTTCGCTTTGAGAACAAAATTAAAATCGTCTTCCTGGAGATTAGCTGGCAGTTTTTCTGCACCAACATCACATAGAGAGAATATGATAGGATTGTAATATGTCAGAGGTCCTTGTGTTCCGCAGTGGACTGATCGTTAAGACATGGTTCCCACCAGATCCCACCAATTTTATAAAGTTTTAGCCGATGTTTTGTTGAAATTTTCCAATGTTTTATTGAAATATCATTATATTTTGGCAGCTATTCCTGTTACCACGGTGTTCCGCGCAAACAGGAATGGGGCCAAACATAAGTCGCTAATTTCGCCAAGGGGTTCCCTCGCACCCTCAAGTACATTTTCACTCCTACTAACTGAAATCATTGTTGATCTTATAGGATGGCGGACGCTCCCTATATGGTGATTCATCTCCCCCCTCCTCCTAGTAATTTAAATTTTAAACTAAAAAAAAATTTAAACCTAATGAAAAAACTTTGAAATATGGCAAACAAATTGAAACATATAATATTAATAAGTTGATGCTAAGTAATATTTCAAAAGCAAATACCATTGCAAATAATTTCCCAATTAACTACAATACTGTCAACTGACAAAATATTTTAGTTTCTATCAGACAAAAAGCAAATTATATAATAAAAACATATGTAACTGATATTCGACAAATTAAATTAAGCAATTTAATTTTTTTTTGTCATATTGAATACTAATTAAAAAACAAATGTAAAATGAAATAATTATGTTATCAATGATCAATAAACATTTTTTTTCTGAATTATTATAAAAAAATAAGGTGAAAACAATAAAATTAAAAATTATTTGCAATAGATTTCTGAATATTCACAAAACCTAGCTATGTACATTTTTTATTGATTTTTCTTTTCACATCATTTTGTAAATATGTCAAAAAAATATGAAATGTTAATTAATATTTCTGGCTGGTCGATTTTTTGAAAGTAAGTAAAAAACAATTGAAAGTAAGGAAAAGCAATGATATAATTAAAAATTATCCTCCTTATATACAAAATTTTTTATCAATTTCTTTTCCATATTATTCGTTTTCATTTAAACGGCTTGAGTCTTCAACGTTTCTTCGCCGCGCTTTCTGCTGTCACGTATTGATAGCACTACGATTATTTTCCCGGTAATTTTGTGCTGCTAAATTATGCTAAGCCGTATGTCGCTGCGATATCACCTAAGATATTCACGGCGATCCATTTTTCATAAAAGATATAAGTCTTTTAAACTAAACTCTGTTCAATATATTTCACGCATTAAATACAAAATAAAAATCGCAATAAGATTTAGCTGGTAAGTTTAGTTGTAACATTTCTGCAGACAGCAGTAGTAAAAATTATTACCTTTTCACACACAAGCGCTCTCAATTTTGATTGACTGTCTTGTGCGTTACTAACCAGAAGTCTTCTGAGATTGGCTATGTGTTATCATTCCATTCCCCACTTATATATATATATATATANCATTTCATTTATCAAAAAATTTTATGCAGTTGATTTGACTGCTTTTTGGAATCCAGACTGCTTTTTGGATTGTTGTGATGCTCTGACGTAAGAAGATGATGAGTCATGTTATGGTAAGTTCTATTTCATTCAGTTTCTTATAGAATTCAATTATGAGTAAAGAAAAGAACGATAACTTTTCCTTTACAGATCATTTTCCCCCTCTAAGGTTAAACTCTAAATGTAAAATAAATATGTTTAATAGTAAGTGTTATCTATAATTTAAGTTATAGAATCAATATTTTCATGTAGATTATAATTTTTTTAAATAAATATCCAATAAAAAATTCATCCGATTTCATTTCGAACTGAAATTTTACTGCTAAAACTTTAAATATTTTCTATTTTCGATGATTGTCTTAAAAATTTATTTCTTATATTTTGATATGTGTGTCTAGTGATGGGATATAAAATGGCAAAAGTTAATAATTGTGTTCTTATTTTTAGAGATTCTTTTTCATATGTGATATTTATAAAAATAAACTAAGAACCAATCATTTTATAATATGCAAAAGAACGAAATTTGTCGCTAAATCAAGCGGAACTAGATTGTAAACTGTTTAATAAACAATTGTAAACTGTTAATTGCACACTTAAAATTCTTTTAAGTAAATATATATATATATATACATATATTAGAACTTGAAAATTAGTGCTGTAATCTATATTTGGGAGAATGTTAAGAATATTAATATAGAATAAGAATTAAAGTTAAATAAATTAATAAAAATTAAATTACAATATTAAATATTGTAAGACAATCTGAATTTTTTTTTGAATTACCATCTTTGATTATTTTCACGAATTGTTTTTTGAATTACCATCTTTGATTATTTTCGTTCTTATACAGCATTAAATAAAGTGTATTTAAGTTGTAACTTTTGCTTATTTGAAGCAGAAAAAAAACTAATTATTTTTTAACAAATGAAAAGATTATTCTATTTTCTTTAACTGCTGCAAATAATTAATTTATCTTTCTTTTACAGATGTTTGACTGCTAGCAAAGTTATATTAGAAGCATCCAGATCTGGTTTTAAAAACAAAACACATAAGCATTAAATTCTACAATGAAATCATTGTATGTATAATAATACACAATAAAGCCCACGTTTTCCGTACCTTACACATGTGTTTTAAACATTTAAATAGTTACTGGAGTCACTCACGCCATTGACTCGTGACTTTTGTAAAAATTATTATTGCAATTATTGACAACTATTGAAGTATTCGATAATGTTTTAAGGAAAAAAGTAATATTAATCATCATATAACGAGAACATAAAGAAATAATACAAAATTATTTTTTCAATAGTTTGCACTATCAATTTTAGAATATTAACGTGTTTATTAATTTTCGAGCTAATTTTAAATTCTTTCCTTTCCTAAATAGTAAAAATTTAATTATTTTCAAAATACTAAATTTATTTAGTTAAATATTTTTTGTTGAAGTAAAGATTGCCTCTTTTTTTTCCTTTGAACAGATTAAAAAAAATTTAAACTTGGTTATTTTGGTAAATCATAACACATTTATAATACGACTTTTGAAAATAACTATTTAAATTGCCTTTATGTTATTATTTATTTTATTTTGTCTAATTATTAGACATACGTTTGAAAGTAAAATATAAAAGTGTTTCAAAAAATCTTAAAAAGCATGAAGAATGACCTTTAAAAGTCTATTAATTAAACGAAACAACTTTTTCTCGGAATCCATGTTTGCAATTTATTTGCACCTTAATTTAAAAAAACAAACCAGAAACTGGGATTAAAGAAACCTTAAGACTGCAACAGCTCAGAACTCTCAAAAGACAATTTCCTCAGACCAAGGAATCGCCTCCAACTATCTAAATAAAGAAACTGCAATGGAGTCCTCTCTGGAAGGCTTACTTAATGAAACCAATGCTATAAACATGGAAAATACCATAGAAGACGTGACTCAAAAAGTAAACTGCATCGGTAACTACGAAAATGTAACTCAGACTTTCAAAGGTAAGTAAATTTTTTATTATTTTTGTTTGTTAGCACTGAAAAGAAAAGAATTTCTCTGACAATTTTCTTCGACTTTTCTGATGGAGTTTTCATTTCTTATATTTTGAAGAACAAAATGGCGCAACACCATTTTCAAAGAATTCTTAATGAGCTTATGCACCAGGAAGATGTACTTTAAAAAAGATACAATAGAATGACTTTTCTTAAGACGTTCAATTTTTCTTTTCGGGAATTATTTTTTTATTTTTTATCTTTCGCTCTTTCGAAATAAGTTGTTCTTACCATGCTTCAAATAAACGAGCATCGTTGATTCTATAAATCATAAATTATGTTTCTTTGCTGATGTAACAGATGGTATTCGCGGAACAATTTCAAATCTGCCATAAGCCAACATTTACGAACTTTGCCATTTATGGTTAACCATTAAGATTTTTTTTTTATTATTTATACATAATTTATGAGTGTAGTTAAGAAATACTTCGTACAGTTTTTCTCGCAAAAATAATGGCTAAAAATATTTTTATGGTAGGATAAAAACTGGAGTATGCAGTGCTCTCTAAAATGTCCATATATAAACAAGTTTATATGGTATGAAAATGACTGAAATAAATTTTATTTAAAACTAGCTGAATATCCGTTCTTCGCACGGGGTGAATGAAAAATAAGTAAATCAGTACTGAGAAACTACGAAATCAAGCTTAAAACTGAAATGCATATAACGACACAATTTAAGAGCTTGATCGAAGAACCAGGTAAATGAAATTTTTAAGGGAATTAAGGAATCAGAGAAAATAACAAAAAGTGGTTGCATCAGTATGAGCATGTTTAATATAACAGAACTATTTTTGCCTTCACTTTAACCTTAACGTAACTAATCCACATCAGTTTTTAGTATGTTTATATGATTTTTATTACAAAATTAGGCAGTGGTAAATAAAATAAAGCAAGAATTTGCTTTATTTTATTTACTACTTGTCTCGCCTTCTAATGAATTGATAAAAAAATAGTTCGGATACAAAAAATTTTTTCTTTCTGAAAATGTCACTTACCTGGTTCTTCCACTAAATTTTTCAACTGATATAGCTAAAATAATTTCAATTTTTTTAATTCGTTGCCCTTTTCGGTGGCTTTACGTTATTAAAGTAAGCAGAACTGATTTTTTGTAGTTCATCCCATTAGGATAAATATAAAATGTATTTAGCATCACTTGGCAGGATGCCATTACTCGTGGTCAATTCATGATAGTCAAACTTTGCCACTATTAAGTAATTTTCTCCAGTACATATCCATTTCGAAAGGCCGTAAAATACTTATTTTAAAAGCATTAAATTTGCTTCTCATATGTGCTGTTTTAATAATCACCAAATATATCAATATAATATTTCATACCTATATCAGTATATTTGGTATTTATTACATAGCCCTTCAAAATTTGTGTTTTGTGAAATAGTATACATTTGTCTGCAACAAAAGCTGAATTTTAAAAAAATGGAATTATTATTAGAACTTAATAAGAATTTTGGAGCATGACCATTTCTCTATCTGATCTTTAACTCACTGTTTAAAGCATTTATAAATAGTGGTGAAAAAGAGTTATTTTATTTCTAATTCATTAAAATATTAATACACTATCTTTGTCACCATTGAAAAAAAAATTTCTGAAATTTACGGAAAACCCGTAGTATAATTCTTATCAAAACTGCACCAATTACGATAATACTAGTAGTAGATATTAATGTCAGTAGTGCACAATAATTAAGCGTCATCTGTGACTGATGCTTTTCAAAGGTTTCACCAATTACGATAATAGTAGTAGTAGGTATTACCGTCAGTAGTACACAAAAATTAAGCGTCAGCTGTAATTAGTGATTTTCAGCGGTTTTCCTAAGCTAATTTTCTATTAACCTTTTCTCCTTTAACTTTCCTTTTGTAGTAAATAGCTTATTTTTTATTTTATTTCAATTAATGCATATTATCAATATTAATAAAGCATTAGTGTCAATATTAATATAGCGATTTTTTACGGCTCCTTAAAGTGAGTAAGTAATTTTTCACCATTATTTTTACTTTTAAGTATATAGGTTTTCTTTTGTATCAATTAACATATTACCAACAGCTGAATTCTAGTTGAAATTTATCATTCAAAATTAAAAAATACTTACCAAGAAAACGATAAAAGTTTATTAATAATCAACACAAATGATACTATTTCAGGTAATTCGGATGATTCTTTACTGTTGCTTTTCGAATTATATAGATACAAAAATATATACTATTCTATAAAGAAGAAGAATATTCTATAACTATTACATTTCCGTACTTTCTGAAATCACATTTATTTACTGGAATGAAGTAAGCAATGTTGACTTCACTTCAATTTGTAATAAATTGAAGACAAAAAAAAAATTTTACCATGATACCCACATCTGTAACCGTATGCGATCCCAAACTCGGAAGTTATCAGTTGCAAATTTGTTGATAATAGAAGTTAAAAATTGTTGAGAACTTTTTCTTCAAATATTTGGCGTGTTCTATTTCTGAAACATTTGCTAGTGTTCTGGAGAGTTTTTTCAAGTTCTTCTGCCTTTTCCTTAGGGAAAGTTTCCTTCTTATTTGCTGCTTGAAAATAACGTCCGAATCTGCCAATGATTATGATAGAACTAAATGAAAACTTAATGAATAATAAATTATAGAAACTTAATAAAACTTGCCTGATATTTTCAGGCTCCGCCAGAGGGCGTACTCAAGCGTTGCGATCACGAATATAAAATAATTAAATATTTAAATACCTGCAATAAACTATTTTTAATCAAATGAAGCTATAAGCTAAAAATTAACTCTGATATAATCTTTAAAATATGTGATAAATTGAATCGTCTACAGTTAAATTTAAAACAATGGCTAACGTTTAATCAATCAGAAAATCCCATTACATTTTTCGCACATCCCACTCGAACGGTTCGTTGTGAAATGTTATAATGTTGACAGTGACCTTCTTCGTGCCTAAAACTATCTGTATGCCAAGTTTCATCGATTTCGGTTGGATGGTTTAAGAGTCTATGAAGAACATTCACACCTACACACACATTCATGTATGTGTAGAGAGATAATTTTGATGAATATATCGTAATTTATGGGGTTGTTCGGAAAGTAATTTTTTTTCCTTATGAAAATGTAAGATGATTTTCATATAGTGAATGAATATTTTATTGAATTATGCATTTTCCATTCTGTTCCATTACCTTTTGCTATCCTTCTGACAGCAGCATGATTCTTAGCTCATAAAAGTTTTGTTCTTTACTTGCAAAAAACTGATACAGGTGATTTTTGACCTCCTCATTTGAAATAAAGGTTTTACTGCATAAAAGAAATTGTAGAGACACGACCTAATATTATAGACAACTGATTTCTCGTCCTCAGAGATGATGCCCTAAGAAAATGTATAATTTTCTTGATGTTTCAGAAGCTAATCATAGACATCTAAAGCGACGGCACAAGTGAACGTAAAAAACCCAGAAGACAAACTTTGAGAATGCACCTAGGCGTTTCAAATGATCATTAAACTTAAACTATACTCTACTTAAGCTTAAACTTTGACTTTACTTGAGCTTTAACTTTGCTTTAATTTACCTAAACTTTAACTTTACATTACTTAAACTTTACTTAAACTTTACTTTACTTAAACTTTACTTAAACTTTACTTTACTTAAACTTTACTTTACTTAAACTTTAATTTACTTTGCTTTTCTTTACTTCTTCACTTTACTTCATTTCACTTTCACTTTTACTTTTACTTTAACTTTTACTTTAACTTTACTTTACTTTATTTTACTTTAACTTTACTTTACTTTACTTTAACTTTACTTTAATTTTACTTTAACTTTACTTTAACTTTACTTTAACTTTACTTTAACTTTACTTTAACTTTACTTCAACTTTACTTTACTTTAACTTTACTTTACTTTAACTTTACTTTACTTTAACTTTACTTTACTTTAACTTTAACTTTACTTTACTTTACTTTACTTTACTTTACTTTACTTTACTTTACTTTACTTTAACTTTACTTTACTTTACTTTAACTTTACTTTTACTTTACTTTTACTTTTACTTTTACTTTACTTTTACTTTTACTTTTACTTTTACTTTAACTTTACTTAACTTTAACTTTACTTTACTTTAACTTTACTTTAACTTTAACTTTCGCTTTACTTTATTTTTCTTAAATTTTAACTTTACTTGAACTTTCACTTTATGCTTTACACATATCAGTTTCTACAGCATTATTTTCGTAAGAATGATTCACAAGAATCAAATTTGACAAAACGGGATTTAAAAATTACGTTATATTTATTAAATTTCGTCTTCCTTCCCATGCTTTTGAAGTCTTTAGTTTGCAGTTCATATTATGTAGCTGGAAGAATGAGATTTCTTTTAATACTTTAAAATAAAATAATTTTTTCCTTCTCCTGAGCGAGAACTCCATTAAATGTTCCGTTATAATAAATTACGATTCATGTTAATGAATAAGTTTAGAAGTGAATTTTGTGCACTATTTGTGCATAAGATAATGTTGAATTTGTTTTACTATATGCGTCTGAAACACGACACTGCAATAGAAAGAGCATGAAAGAACTTGAAGTATTTATTAACAACTGTTTAAGAAGAATATTGGATATCAAGAGGTTCCATGAAATTCATAATGCAGAAGACCTTAGAGAAGCAAAACAGAAGTCGATTGATGTCGAGATTAAAAATCCTAAATGGAAATGAATTCGTCATGTTCTTGTTCCTTCCTGAAAAATTCAAAGTAAAACAATTTTTTGATTGGAACCCTCAGGGCAATAGAAAAAGAGGAGGACCTAAATATACTTGGCGTAGGACGATGTTAAACGAATTGAAAAAAATGGAAAAGACATGAAGAGAGGCAACATATCTGTCCACAAATAGAGTGAAATGGAAGGCTATGATAGAAGCCCTATACTCCCATTTAGAATGAA